AGAGTTTGTTAGCTGGGTCCAGAGCAGAAGTGAAAGTTTCTTCCGGTGCTGATAGCATAGCCAGGAACATGTGAGCAGGCAAACAACTTGCAAGGAAAAAGGGCTTAGGCTTGGAGCTTAGATAGTAAAAGGCTTGGAAATAAGGAAACTCCTTCCATTTGCCTGTGTGCTGACAGTAGTTAGAAAGCCCCCATAAGATATCAAGATCAAAGGTGCCCTTAGGTGGCCACTTCACATTGTTATCTAAATTGTAAGGAGGCCATTTTTTTAGAACAAAGATGGACAAGTGTGGGAATCTGTAAGTAGGGCATTAAGGCCTGAGGTTTAAAGGCCTCTAAAAGGCATCCCAGGGAGGAGGGTGGATTGATGGGCTTAGATGGCTTGCTACCCACAGCTGAAACCATGAAAACCCACAAAACAGCGACACCACAAGGCTTATATAGGACGTCTCCCCCCTATAGGCGCGGCAAAATCGGTGGCAAAAACCACAGGTGAGGTGCTATAACCTGATTGGATTTGGTCGGGCCACTCACAAACCAGAGAGGCCAGAGGCTGCTCTTAGCAGCCTTTCATGGTGTGGGGGCAAGAAAAGATAAGAAAAAGAAATAAAGAAAGAATCTAGGAACCCTGGGTGGTCTAAACATGATTTTAGCTAAGGGATGCAATCCAGAGATGAATGTCAGTGAAGGGCTCAACCGTGGCCTAAAAGACCATGGTTGGGGGCTGTCCCCCCATTTCTAGGAACACCAGAACATTTCCGGGAGCTCAATGGTCAATTCCTCAGGCTCAAAGAAACAGTTAAGCTGACCAGAATGGGGAAAACTCACCACTTGAAGCCGGTTGTGTGCATAGAAATTACACTCAAGCAAATGGAACACATGGCCACTGTGGAAAAAATACTTGGTTCCAGATCTTGACCACGAGAGAGGGGCTTGGGGAGGAGAGTCTCCTGAGTCTCACAGCACCAAAGAAATTACCTGGCATGAGTGAGAAGGAAACAAGGAACATGCAACAAACCCACTTAGGAGTTTACTAGAGGGGCATTACAGGCCTGGAGAAATCAGTGAGGAAGATGGCGAGTCCAGCTTTTAAAAGCTGCCTAATGCATGCGCACATGGCGGTTGACATGGCTACGTCATACGCAGATGATAGAGTTCACGCATGAGTGCAAGGGCTTAATTGAGTCATACATGGATGATGTAACCATGCATGCACACAAGGGATTAGCTGAATCATAAGTGAATGATGTAATCCACAGCACGTGGGTCCTGTGGGGGCACTTTAACACCCCTGGGGGCCATTAGGCACTTCTGTGTGAGGGCTTGTCTGTACCTACATGACCTCTAGAACCCAGAAGTATCAGCCTCATGTGGCTGAAATTATTATAACAGAGAACAAACAAATAAACTAAAGTGAAGAGAGGTTTTTTTGAATGGAGAAAGCCAAGGGTCTGAGTGATAGCTCAGCAGTAAAGAGCTCTTGATGCTCTTACAGATGGTCTGAGTTCAGCTCCAAGCAACAAAGTGGGGTGGCTTTTAACCACCTATGACATCTTCAATGGCCTCTGCCAGTACTACACTCACATGCGCAAACCCACATTCAGACACACACATACACACATAATTAAAAATAACAGTAACTCAAACTGAGAAAACCGGGGAAGTCGTCTGTGGTAAGGTGACATTTGAGCTGTGCAATAAATGCTGAAAATACATCACTCACATAGGATCAGAAGAAAGCATATTCTAGGTCTAGGTAGAAGAAATAACAGATTTTACAGAAAAGGATGTTTGGCATATCTGAGGAAGGCCAAAAAGCTACTGTTAATGGAGAACAGAAAGCAGGTCAGGCTGAGACAAAATGAATCCAGAGGTAGGTAACACTGGCCATGGAATAATTGAAATTTTTGTTCCAACTGTTATGGGAAGTTCACTAAATGAAAGAGTTGACCCTCTGCCTGGCTACTGGTCCTGGCTGATCTCCAGCCTTGTATCACATCCCCCTTTCCTTTACTCTGCTCTGTTCTTGGGTCTTTTAGTTCCTCAAATTGACTCTCTGTTATGATTCTGTAAGGACAAATAAGTCCAGGAGTGTTAGGAGACAATATTAAAGGAAATGATATGAGTTTATAAAAATAAGCCCAGAAATGTTAAGGCGCAATATTAGGTGTCACATACAAAATGAAACTAAAAAGCATGAAGCAATGTGTGCAGTGGTGATAAGAGTTTGAGCTGGTGAACAAGTGTGACGTAACTATATGATAAGCAGACATGTGTGTTAATCCAAAAAGAAAAAAAAACAACATAGCCACAGACAGTATAAAAACTTGAGGCTCACGACCAGGTGACATTCTCAAAATGACTTGCTAGACATGCTGTCAGAGCGGTCATAGAGAATCCAACGAACCAGCAACCTCACAGCTGAGACCGTCCAAGAGCCAGAGAACTAGCTCTTGCCTGCGGATCAAGACTTGCTGATCCAGAGGCCTAGGTCGAGAGCCACGGACCATTATCAGGTCGTATACACCAATGCCTCAGTAAGATAGGATAGAAGACCTTGCCTAGGACACATAGGAACCTTTGCTGAATGTGTGATGTGACTGAAAGTGTGATGTGATTGATTGACTAGGATTGTTATTGAAGGTGTGATGTGATTGATTGACTAGGATTGTTATAGGTTTGATGTTTACTTATATTTGATATAAGAATAATTAGGGATTTAAATGATTGTTATAGTTTGATGTTTGCCCATACCTGCTAACAATTGGAGATTTGACTATTGGCATAATAAACTTGTTCCTAGAACAAGTCATCCTGAGTCATCCTGAGTATTTACTTGCAGACCTCTAAGTAAGGGCAGAATGCCCGCTCAGGAATAAGGCTCGCGACACTCTCTGCCAAGCTTTGGGGCTTCCTCTACTGAGAATACTCTCTTTTCCTCCCTTTGCTGAACCAAGACTCAGGAAGCACTTAGACACCAGAGAAAGTCAGGGTCTTTTACTACAGGCTTTGGCTACCAGGTTCCCGTCCCGCAGTGTCTAACAATTTTAGTGTCTAATTTTACCAGAGACCTGCTTGGGAATGGGAGGGCTCAGGTCCAAGAAGGCTGAATGGAATTGGCAGAGGAAAGGAGAAGGGAGACACGATCTGAGGGTAATTTGGGATGGCTGCCAGCAGTGTTTATTGAAAAAATTATACACCTTTTGTACCTAATAGTTTAGCCACGGGAAAGACTGAAGGCAGACTCAATGATTCAGGGACAGAAAGCCACCATTAACTTCATTAGAGCATTCTTCCTGGGACAAAAGCTAGTATCGAAATGTCTATTGTTCTTCAAGGTTCAGTAACTCTACCAGGAACTCTCATCGAGGAAGGGCAACAAATTTGTCCCCCCAAGATAAGGAGAATGACTGACTTAACCAAGTAGAAACAGTCCTCAAGGCCCAGAGGAAGTGGAGACCCTTATCCAAAAGCCTGACCTTGGGAAAAGGACTTCCTCTGGGAACCAGACAATCCACTATAATTTAAGAGTATTTTCATTCCTTAAGGGGATAAGTACTAAGCTTTTCCCCAATTGTGTCCCTTTGTGTCTTAGTCTTACTGTGTGAGCCTGTTCCCCACGTGTAGTCCAAAAGTAGAAAGTCCTTATAGCTTGCTCTTTTCCCATTACACCTCATGACCGAACTCTTGCCCTTAATGACCTCAGGCTCTGGATCTGGATTTTAGGAGTGTCTAGTAGATCTCTAATTTTTCTGTTCTTGGTGTAATTAGAAGGGCACAATGGGATTCGTAGTTCCTTAGTGACAGGGACTTTTTTTCTCAAAGATTTATTTTGTTTAAAGAGGCTGCTGTTTTATACATTTTTGTCCTTCAAAGCTCATATAAAATTTCCCAAAGGAAAAGACATAAGAAAACTCTTAGAATACTGAGAACCATTGAAAATGAAAGTAAAAAGGTGCTGGAGAAGTGTGGTCTGCAATGTCAAAATGCTGGAACTTTGTCAAGCAGCAGTGGTAGCCATGCGGTCCACACCACAATGTTGTCAGTATTTGCTGAGTATCTGATTTTACCACTAGATAACTAATCTCATAGGTGCAAGCATGTTGCCTACTTTTGTCTAGACTCAGGTCAATAACAGTAGCTACTCAATGCTTACTTTAAAAGAAAGATATAAAGACATTGGATTACAGCAACATTTATCTTTTCAGAAACCATCTGAAGATGAACAGTCCATGAGCAAGTGCAGAGCCTCTGGTATCAATCTTGGTGCTCACTAGATTTCTGGTGAGCACTTAAAAAGCTGTGGGTGCCAGAGTCCAAAACAGTCCAATTAAGTCAGAGTGATAATCACCAGCATTATTTTAACAGAGGGTCTTATGTAGCCAAAAGCTAGCCTAGAACACAGTAGCCAGATGATGACCTTGAACTTCTGACCTTCCCTGCCTCTACCTCCCAAGTGCTGATATTAGGTATGTATACAACCACACCCTGTTTATTCAGTGCTAGGAATCAAACCCAGATTTTATTCATGCTAGAAAAGCACTTGGTCAACTGAGCTATGTTCCCATACCAGTATTTTAAGTATAAGTAAATACAATGTACAGCAGTGTCGAAAATTAGTACTCTGAATGAGTTTCCACTCAGACCAGGTTTTCCCACTTTGCTTACAACACCACAGCCGTCCTACAAAACTCTGTGCCATACTCAGCTGGGACCTAGATAGACCTATCCTCCAACAGTGCTCACAAATTTCTTTAACTGGGTCCACAGACTATTTCAAAGCCAAAACAAACAAACAAACAAAAGAACGAAGTTTTATCTGGTCACACCCTCCTAGTGGTTTCACTTCTCTTCACCAATATAACTTTGCTTTCCCTAGGAAGTCTCAGCAGAAGAAGCAAATCTAATGTCTTCACACTGAACTTCCTTCACGTCCAGGCCCGTGTCAAACCTCTCCGCACTCAGCCACACTCACCTGTTTGGTGAATAGGTAGCAGCTGAAGGGAATGTAACTTGATGTTATCAGACAAGACATAGAATGAAATATCAGGAGCAAAACGTCTGTGGGTTTAAGAAGAAAAAGAGGAGAGATCTAATTTCTATACACTTTAAGCAGGTACGTAAATATTAAATGTTGTTGAATAAAAGTTGCTCTCATACCTATATAGCAGATGCTGAACATTTAAATATTTTGCTTTTTCATCTGCTAATCCTGTGGACTCCAGTTTAACAGATATTCCAGACTGTTCACACTTTTCACCAAGAAGCTCCATGGGTTTTAGGCAGATAACAAAATCTTCTGATTCAAGCTGTGAAGTTTCATTACTGACATCTTAAAAAATAACATTTTAGAGTTTAACAACTAGAAGTACTACCTGAATGAATTTTAGACAAGGCATGTGCCTTATGTTTCTACTGCTGTGATAAAACATTACAACCAAGTCACTTGGACAGGAAAGGGTTATTGTAGTTTATACTCAGACCACACTCCACCCCTGCTGGAGTCAGGGCAGGAACTCGGGGTAGCAGCTGATTCAGATACTATGGAGGAGTGATGTAGGTGGGCCTTCTGTCTATGTGTTATTTTCATTGGTTAATAAAGAGACTGCCTTGGCCCTTTGATAGGACAGAAAATTAGATAGGCGGAGTAAGCAGAACAGAATGCTGGGAGGAGGGCAATGAGGCAGAAGCCATGGAGCCAGCCACCAGGTCAGACATGCTGAATCTTTCCCGGTAAGCCACACCTCATGGTGCTACATAGATTATTAGAAATGGGTTAATCAAGATGTGAGAGTTAGCCAGTAACTAACTCTCTAGAAATAATGGGCCAGGCAGTGTTTAAATGAATACAATTTGTGTGTTGTTATTTCCGGGGCTAAGCTAGCCGTGTGGGAGCCAGGTGGGATGAAAAGCAGGCCTGACCACAGCTCCCCACTACAGAGGAGGGATGTTTACTGGCCTGCTCCCCATGGCTTTCTCAGTCTGCTTTCTTATACACCCCAGGACTATCTGCTCATAGGTGGCACCACCCACAATGGCTAGACCCTCTCACACCAATAGTTTATCAATAATGCCCCCCTGACAGGTGTGCCTACAAGTCAGTCTTGTGGAGACATCATTTCACTAAAGTTCACTCCTTAAAAATTCTAAAAAAAACAAAACAAAACAAAAAAAAAATAAAAATTCTAGCATGAGTCAAGTTGGGGAACAAAAAAAATGGCAATGAAGGCAAATATATCTAATGTCATTTAATATTGAATACAACAACAAAGATTAGAAACTTATGTAGGCCAGGTATAGGGACTCAAAACAATAATGCCTATACTCAGGAGCCTGAGAAAGGAGGATTCCTGGTTTGAGGCAAGCCTGAACCAAGTGAGTTCCAGGTCAGTTAGAAACATATGGAGATGCTGTCTCAAAAAAGAACACCAACGGTTTTCTCCTTAGAAACCCTTATCTAATACAGTTGCTCCATTACAGACATATAACAAATACATGTAGAAACAAAATAAGCTATGAATAGTCACAAACCCAAAGCAATGTGATAAGAACACCCAAACCTGTTAGAAAAGTGTCTAACCATAGACACTGGGGTTCTTTAGAAAGTCAAATTCATCACTTACCTTCTGTCTGTTGCAATTGGTTGTTGGTTTTTTGTGGGTGGTGTTTAACTTTCTCTCCATTTGTAGGGTCTGACTCCAGTTTTAGGATTAAGACTTCTAAGTCAGACATGACAGCGACATATCCAACACAAGTAGAAATTTCAACAGGAGTGATATTATCTATGTGTATAATTAATGAACGGTCAAAGTCCGACATTGAGAAATCCTCATTAATGATCCAATACTTCAAAGTAAATAAGACTAACTTATTTGTGCAGCCAACAAGAAGATCTCCCTTCATAGGACAACATGAAATGCATAAAGGATCCTCAGACAGCGGAATTTCAATTATCGACATCTGGTCTCTGAAGCTTTCACAGAAGGGTGTCTCCACATTATGCCCGACCATTCGAATGCAGACACGGGAGTTTTCAGTCCTCTTACTCCTCCAATTCATGTAAGCACGCAGGAATGTAGCTTTGTTTTTCTCTTCAATTGCTACCAGATAGTCTCCTAAAAAGGAATCAAGATTGCATGTAAAATTTAGAATTAGAAATTCAACTGCTTAATTGGCTGCCTGAAAATGGAATGCATAACATAACACAACACATGGATCACTGACTCACAGGACAAGAACTGCCCTCTGAGGGACAGAGGTATGTGTTAAGTTACCTCAGTCACGCAAGTTCATCCTCTTACCGCAGTTGGAAGCTTCTGTCACAGCTGCAACAATATGCATGTAACTTAGAAAATTCAGGTTTTAAAGAATTAAGGGAGGGACTCTTGAGTTTAACAGAATTTACATTTGGCATTTCCTTCCCTTCCTAAAGAAGTCACAACTCAGAAAAGTAAGAAAACTAGAGATACCAAATAAAATATAAAACCAAGTCAATATTCTTTTAACTATTGATTATATGGGATTGTTTTAACTGTAAAAGTAACATTTGTTGTAGAAACCAAACTGGCTAAGTACAAAATGAATGCATATTAACCTCCCCCGTTAGTCTCATCCTTAAGGACTAACGTTCACAGTCTGGTGTGTGACCTTCCAAATACTTTCTTTCTTATAAACATGGGTTACATCAAGGCTTTTTGTCTTTTTTATACATCACACCAATCTATTTAACAATGTGCCATTTTTAAATTCATGTTTAACTTAATAATCACATTTTGTTGTAACAATACCTGCTTTATGAATTAACAACCTCAAGCATATAGATTAGTAAGTTTCTTTGGGGAAAAAGGTTCAAGTAACTACACAGCATAAACACAAAATAGAAATAACCTCCAATTATTTAAACAACAAATGTATCTTTTCCCCCATGGTGATACATAGCTATCCACCACCCACCATCCCAACGTAACATACAGACATGTGGATACCTATAAAATATCTTATAAACACATGTGCCGTAAATATTTAATAGTTCACCTATTAATGTGATTACTACTATACTTTATTTGGTAACAAATAAGCCTATATGTATATAATTTGTTTTTTGTTGGAAATTTATGTTCGGCTACAGACCAAGAGTATTTTAAACTTTATTAGAAACTGTCAAGTTACCTACATAATTAGGTAACGGAAGTTCACACTACCAGCAAAGCTAGTTATACATGCCTGTTTCCTACCATCTCAGGGTATATAGGATATATCCAGTCTCACCTTGGACTCACTATATAGACCAGGCTGTCCTCAGACTTGCCATGATTCTCCTGCCCTGGCCTTCTGAGTGCTTATGCCATCATACCCACCTACTTTGTGGTAATTTTAAAGTAAGGAACTATACTATGGTATTTGAGTATATCACTGTAACTTTAATTTGCATTTCTCTGATGTTTAGTGATGTAGAGTCCCTTTTATGTGCTTTTGGACATTTGCATGTTTTCTTCAGAGAACTGTATATTCAAGTCCTTTGCTGTATATGCACTGCTAGGGATCAAACCCAGCACCTCATGTGTGCTAGACAAATGCTCTTTCAGTTGGCCATATATTCCACTTCTATTTGCTCATTACAAAAATAAATTGATCTGTTTTTCTCTCACCAAGTTAGTTTATTATATATTTTAGACCCATCTTTTATCAAATATATGATTTACAAATATTTTTTAAATCCTTAGGATATCTCTTTCCATATATTGGTAGAATAGATATACAAAAATCTTTAATTTTGATGATGTCCAATTCATCTACAGTTCTTTGGTTGCCTATAATTTTTTATATCACATTTAAGTTAGAAAATGACATTTAAAAATAAGCCCTTCAGGATAAATATTTTTTTTCCAGTTTTATAATTCATCACTCTGATGCTCAGAGTATTACTAACAACAACATGCCTAAGGCAACAGTCAAAAAATGATGGACCAACATTTAGTCCAAAGACTTATGCTCATTCTGGTAATGGTTGGAAAGAAAATTCTACAAGGGTTCATATAATCTTTAAAGGGAGGGCACAACCTAAAAACAAATTATGTTCCTGGTACATCATTCAATAAAGGCATAGGGTGAGATGGGGGGGTCACTGGTTCAGTATACTTGTGCTAAAATGTTAAATAATCACTTGTGCTGGTTCAATATACACAGGGAGAGTTGTGTGGTCTTCACTTTTTGCCCCACCACCCACAAACACCTTATAAACACATGTCCTGCAGCAGGGCCTTCAACACTGCACTGTCCACTGGGTCTTTTTCTGTCTGTTGGTTATCCTTCCTCTTCACATCATAAATGCAGCCTAAATTCAATTTCCATTATCCCTGATGATGCTAAAAGTTCAAAACTTACCTTCTAAATTGTTACATACTTTCTCCCTAATTGATGTGGGATTCCCCTCTGTATGCTGTGAATACCACTGGTTAACAAAGAAACTTCTTTGAGCCTATAGCAGAGCAGGCAGAACAGAGCAAGGTGGGGGTGGGGTTAGGGGAGGGGACTAAACTGAATCTGGGAGAAAGAAGGCGGAGTCAGTGAGAAGCCATACAGAACTTTAGCTGTTAAGCCACAGCCACCTGGCAATACACAGATTACTAGAAATGGGTTAAATTAAGATGTAAGAGTTAGCCAATAAGAAGCTAGAGCTAATAGCCAAGCAGTGATTTAATTAATACAGTTTCTGTGTGGTTGTTTTGGGAGTCTAGGTGACCAGAAAACAAACAAGTGGCCAAGCATCCTCATGTAATACGCAGTGTTCTTGTAATGATTCATCATTTCAACTTGATTGAACTTAGAAAGACCTTAGAACATACCTCTAGTTGTTTCTTATGAAGACATTTCCAAAAGTAACTAGATCATAAGCACTGCCCTAATGAATGAATGCATTAATCCACTGGTAAATTTAAAATCTGAAGATCTTAGTGTGGTGAGGATAGAAATGTAGAAAGGAGTCTGGCTAGATAAAGGGAACATCTGGAAGGAAGATCACTGCTGAAGAGGAAGCTTCCAGAAATTCTGCCTTGCCCTAGTTCTTTCCTGTTATTGCTTCACTTTAATCTCTGGTCACCATGATGTGAGTTCTCCAAAACATAGTAGACTCACACCTCTCAAACTACGAGCAACATAAATCTATATTCTTTCAAATTGTTTATGTCAATTATCTCAAACTCCAGGAACCCCAGGAGTGACTTACATAGTGTTCACATTTTACAGAAGGAGAATGGCATTTAACTGATTAGGAAGTGTATCTGATGGTTTTGACATCAAATGTATGTTGGCGGGGTAGGGAATGAAGTAAAACTGACAAAAAGACATGACCTGATCACTCAATGGTATGGTGAAGGGGAAAGTTTTATTGACAATGAGAGAGAGAAAAGCTAGAAAATCTGGAAGAGTCAAGAGCAGAGAGAGAAAGAAGCAGACTAAACATACCCAGATGACTGGACATGGCTAGGGCTATCTGCAAGAGAGAGAACAGCAGGGGATAGGAAAATAGAGAGAGCAGTGAGAATAACCAGGTTCTAAGTAGGTGAGGGAAGTCTGAGCTGAAAAAAGCTTAGGTTAGAGAAGGTAAGAGACTAGCATGGACTCTGAAATATGGAACGGATACTTGTGAGTAGGGACTGAGGGAGCCAAGAGACTAGCCTGGACCTTGATGTGCTGACAGGTACCACAGGTTAACTGGAAAACCATAGATCCCTTTTGCTGGAGGTAAGGGAAATGACTCCTTTTGAACCAGCTTCACAAGTTCGTGAGGAATGCTAGCTTTTATCTCACTGCCAGAAATACTCCTATACTCCTCATTTCTGGATATTCGGACTGCTTTTTGAAGTTTTGGAATTGGGGTTTCCTTTGGCCCTGACAGTAAGAAAAAGAAAATGCTTTGTGCTTGGGTAGAAGATCTATAAAACATTATAGTAAATAGAAATACAGAAATTTTTGACAAGGGTAGATTTGCTACAGCAGAGGACACTGAGCACTAAGAATACAAATCCCCGGGTCCACATACTGAGAATATGAACACAAAGCCAAAGGACAAGTCAAAGATCGGGTTTTCTGGACATAGGCACAGTCGGGAGTCAGTCTATTAATGTTTGGTCATGCATGGATTAAAAGAAGTTACACTCAAAGGTTCAACTGTGAACTGAAAGCTACCTTTGAGTTATATGGCCCATGATGCTAAGACCATCCCACATGACTCCTAAAGTTCTTTTCGGCAGCCAACATAATTATAAAAGCATTTTTGTTCTTCAAGGTTTCATTAATGAGGTTATCACAGTTTAGTGCTAGCCTCCTGCAGTTGGTGTGGCTCAAGTCCTTAGTACACAAGCCGGCCAAGCATTTGATATTCTCCAGAGAAACTTCACTGTGTTTCTGAAGGTGTGGTTCAGGAATGAGAACCTTCTTCTTCTTCTTCTTTTTTTTTTTATGCTTTCTAAATGATTCTTGGCAGAGCTACTGCAATGAAAGGAACCCAGGAATTAACAGTAATGACAGGCAAGAAAACCACCCATCACCCATTGCTTCAAATTTTAGAATAAAACTCTCATTAAAAGAGAAAGGCAAATTGTGTAAATATACAGCCCATGTCTTTGTTTTACACGCGCACACACACGTATTTAAGAATTTGCAGAAGTCAAACTACCAATAAGTAATAGTGACTCACAGATATAAAAGGGCTCGCTGTGATCTGGAATATTTTTTGAAGGAGAGCATACCGTGAACTCCAGGGTATCATTTTCCCTCTTCTTTCTTTTATGTGAGGTTGGAGAATTTTTACATTCATATATTTTTTTTAAGGGTCTGTCATAAGTGGTACCTTACTTCAAGACTTGGATCAGTCAGCATTTCCTTGCCGCTGCAGGCGGATGCCTATGTTGAGTGTGTTATGTTTTGCTTTGAGACAAGATTATCTGTAGCCCAGGCTAGTCTGGAACTCACTAAACAACAAAGGACTTCCTTAAACTTCTGATCCCCTCCCGCCTCCACCTCCCAGATGCTGAGATTACTAGTTGAACAACCTCAGAGAGGAAGCTTAGACCCAAGGCTTCAGGCAAACTAGGCAAGCACTCCACCAAGGCGCTTCTGCTGATCTGTAGGTGCTATGACAACTGCACAAAGCGCCTTCAGCACTTAACTGCTGGACCCCGCCGCAGCCAGTACAGAGAAGCTCTAGCCCCGCCCCAAAGCCGCTCCTCACCGACTTCACTGTAGGCCATGCGCAACACCCTGCCCAGCGTGGAGAAGGCGCAGCGCATCTGGCACGACTCTGCTCCCTGCACCGCGAATGCCTCCACCTTGCAGCCCGAAGCCACGAACAGCGCGTCCCGCCCGCCGCAGCAGATCTGCTCCGGCTCCCGCTGGCAGGGGACTACCTGCTGCGACCCAAACGGGTGCAGATTGTACAACTGCACCATCTTGGCCACTGAACAGCAGAGCGGCTTCCGCAAGCAAGCAAGCTGCTCCGGATCACGTGAGCGCTCTGCCCCCGCCCAGAGTTCGGCTTCTTAAAGAGGCTGTGCGGGTAGAGTTACATGCACAGCATTGGGTGCAGATAGATACCTCAGATTCTTCTCTTGAATTTTCACTTTACTGCTTCTGGCCGGACGGGAAGCTTGAATGTGTTTTATTGGATCATGTGCTTGTTTGTGCCTGGATCAACTTCATGGTGTCACTCTTGTTTTCCCGTAGCGTAGCATTTGAGTTTCTGAAGGATGGAGCTGCAAAACCTAAAGTAGGTATATGCCTCCAAACATAGATTAAACACGCCCGAGTTTCTCTGAAATACTGTATGTAGATTTTACAATGGTTTTGTTTGAAAGGGCAAATCCTTGCAGATGCTTAACAAAAAAGATATGTATTGAATGAATCTGTGAACACTTTGCAAGCATTTGGCAAAAGATTCCTCTAAATCGCACATAATAGAAGGGGAAGAGGAAAATGTCCCTGATGATCAGTCTAGTGTTTCTAAATATACTCTGTATAGGAGAAACTTGCAGTCTGAATTCCTTTATTTTAAGAGATTTAATAAACCAGATAGTATAATAATTATAACAGTTCTAGAAAATGTGTATGTATGCATGCATGTATGCACGTATGTGTGTATGTATGTATTGATTGACTGAGGGCTGCTCTGTTGACATTGGGACAAAATTGAAAAGCGCAAACTTCGCTTCCATCCATGTTGAACACCTTCATGATTATTTCAGGGCTAAGCAGCCGGGAACAAACAAGCAGCCTCCTCCTACAACACTGTATTTGCTGGAGAAACTTGGGTGAATTATACAAGTAAAAATAGTACACCAAGCTGACCATTGATGTTGTTAACCCTTCTGGAGATTGCTACAAATCTGGATCTATTTCCTTGGCAGCCTAGGGAGGGTAGGCTCTGTAAATGGGACAGGCTATGCAGAAAAGGCAGGCTCTGTTGAGAGAGCAGGCTTTCTAGTGGGCTCTATGGGAAGTGCAGGCCCTGGATCTTGGAGCTTCTGTTCTCAATTCTCTGTGTGAGCCAAACTCCAGGATATTTAAGCTGCATAATATATTGAGAATGAATGGCACAAAATGACATGTATGTCTATTTTTTTTTTTTAGTACTACATATCCCAAAAGAAC